AACCAAAAACTCATTAGCTACAGACTGCTCTAGTAATCAGCACGCTATTGGAGGAGGAGACCGCTCGAGCGAAGAGGAGGAGACCGCTCGAGCGAAGAGCGCAACACCTGAGTCATCTAGCAATCGCTTGACTTGCCATCCAACGGTGCTCGGATGGCCTTGCCTGTATTTTCCTTCGCCCTTCCTTTATGCTCTGTTATGATAAAAAAATGGAAAAATAGAAAGTTAGATGAATAGAAAGTTTGAGGTAAAATATCATATTTTGTAAGAAAGGAAAATAGAAAAGATAAAAAAGTAAATAGGTTAGCTTTATTTTCAAGTCACTAAAATCAATCCCTCCAAAATGGAAAGGAAAGTGGATTGAAAGTTAATTATTTGTGTTAAAATATATCTTATTTGTTTATATATTATGGATACATTAATTTCATATAAAAATACAATAATAAAATATGTATTTATATATATTTTTTTAAAATAATAAAATTAAAAAAATATATTTTTTTCATCTTAATTAGGGGTGAAAATTTTCAACTCAACACAATGACACGACTAGAACTCAACACGAATTTTATGACACAAACTTGATTATAACTCGACATGAATTTGAAAATGACCTGAGACACGAACAAGAATATAAAAGACTCATAATTTTATAACTCAACATAAATCTGACACAACACGACTCTATTGTCACTCCTAATCTTAACCAGCAAAAAAAAAAAAAAAGTCATTTTTATTTTTCATACATCCAATCAAACACAAAAGAAAAAAAGTGTATCATTTTTATTTTTCATCTTTGAAAGATATAAAGTGTATCTCTCCTACTTTTCATCCTTCTTATTTTTTATTTTTTCTACTAAATAGAGCATTAGTGGACAATGACCGCTCCAACCGTGGGCAAGCGACCATCAAGCAGTCTACATTGTTCTTTAAAGCCCAAATTAAACCTTTTGAGTATCAAGTAGTGACACCCAATGAGGCTCCATGACATGACTCTTATAGTGTTTTAGGAATTATCTGTTGATTTTCAAAAATATTTTTTACTCAACCACGAGAGTTATGTCATGGATCGAATCCTAAATCAGATTTTAAGCACCTAAGGTAACCTAAGTTAATTCAAACAAAGGTCACTCAGTGCCTAGGTCTTTTACCTTTCCAAGGTTCAAAGGATTCAAAGGAGTCTTCAAATGTTCCGGTGTAGCTTGAACTTCCCCTTCCTTGTTGCAGTCTTCTACAATGAAAATATCATAATCGTGAATTTAGGTCGAGATAATAAGGTGCACGTGACTCATGGAATTTGTCAATTATAATTGATTTCGTAACAATACACCTTATACACTTTTAGAGCCCTTATATTTAACATTATGTCTACATTAAGAGCATCATCCACGTTGAACAACTATAGACGGCAAAGGGTGTAGCTATAAAAAAAGATGAACGATGATTACAAAAGTGAGAATTTTACAGATCCAAAGGTGTATATTATATTGTATGCTGAGAGTGAGTAACTTGTGTAATGAATGATACACATTATGCCATTAGTTAAGAGCACTTGGTATATCAATACGTCATCGGCATTCACTAATGCTGAAAAGAAGGAAAATAGAGACTACGAATCAACAATTAGTCAAGTCTGAAAGGAGAACATTAAGATGTTGGTGTGTAGATGTCAATATTATGTGCTCCAACTTGCAACTGACATAATGATAGCTTCATATGGATTAGATTTAACATTTGCTAAATGTTAACCAAATCCACGAAGGTTCCTCCACTCACAACCAACATTGAAGTTCGTCTACACGCATGATGAAAGTTTGTCATCAAAAAAGATGCCTCATTATGGATCCTACACAGATTATGGCGGTATAACGTTGCATGAACAAAGGCATGGCTTTCACAATAAGCCAATCAATGCTCACACGCAGTCCTTTGACACACGTCGGTTGTGTAATTATTGAACCTGCAACTTATAATCTACCTCCAAGTTTTCATTTCCAGCAATAGTGACTAAGAGGGCAAAAGTTGTATGATAAACACTATGAGCTTGAAATATATTATCGTTGGTATGAATTATCCGTACTAAAAACACACTCAAATGATATATATCATTCATGGAACTGAGGCAACTATAACAAGATCATAGCAATGATTCAACATACTCCTAAACAAATGCAACGACGATTGGATCATTTTCATGCAATCAAAATGAGATCCATGAAACACGTTAACCCATGAAGTTTTTTTTTTTTCAAAAATAGACCTACTTTTATTTTATTTTTACTTACCAAAAAAAATCCATGAAAGTTTAATCCCATCATTCCATTTGTGATGAAGGAGATGAGAAAGATGAGAGAAAATAGGGTTGGTGGCTTGCATACGTTGAAATTGTTAAGTGTGCTTCATAAGTTTAAAAACTACCTGACATTTGAATTGACATCCTTAAAGGCATCGGTCTAAATGACATGTTGTAAACCCCCACATGTTTATAATAATATCATAATAAATTGTGTAAAAAATTTTAATATATGTAATGACGTAGGAATGAATCATAGGGGTTATAACCGTAGAAATAATGATATTGTGAAAATTTGGATAAATATATAAAATCGTTTGTAATAGAAGTTGTATCAACCATGTTTGATGTGAAAAGGGATGTTGTATATGTTTGGGATGGCCTTGGAAGGATTAGAAATGAAAAATAGAGGAAACAAGCAGATTCAGCAACAGTGTACTAGTACGTGTACCGGTACGTCGAAGTCCAGTAGTCATACTGTACCAGTACGCATACTGGTACGCCCAGATAGATTCCAAAAATTTTCAAGTCGCGAACAGTCAGCCCTCCTTCCACTATAAATACATAAAGACGTCTCATTTAGCCCCTTTTCAACACTTCCACTTTGGATTGAATTAAGGCCCTAGATTTCTTCAAGAACATCAAGGTAGGGATTTATTCCATTCTTGTCTATTGAGGTTAGGGCTTGTATATATGTATTCTTTCACTCCTAATCATATGTATATGCTATGAAATTATGATTCCTTGAGATTTTTACAATCATTACCATGTTTTAAACAAAGCTATGGTTATATAACCATGAGATTTCTTTTCTTGTCATAAAACTCTAGTTTTCAAAAGAAATGGATTTTTCTCTTGATTCTTCCTTTGTTCTTGACTTTGAAACCCTAGTACTTTGTGTTGAGTAATAAAATGATGTTGTGATAATCTCTTGCTTATTTTCTTAAATTACTCTCTTGTATTACAAATTGTGATAATTGAAAATTTTGGATTTCCTTGTGTTTAAAGAAAAGGTTTGTTATTGCATCCTTTGTATGGTTGTTATGATGAACTTGAATTACATTCGAGCATTGTTATAGAGTATTAGAGGTTAGTCTATCCCAGTTGGGGGTGGGATGGTTTCTTAACACTTGTAGTGGTTTATTGTTTGTGAGAGCAACCACTATTGTTCACGTATGTTCGAGGCTGAGAGATGGTATACCTTTCCTAGAAATGATTCGTCAATGTCGTGGGAGACGGTATACGCCCTTCCTAAAGTAGTTTGTGTGGTTATGATTGGGTGAACGAGGTAGAGTCGTTGCATAGATTCATGGAAAGCAACCAACATACATGAGAATATGGGATGACACTACTAAACGATTATGGTTATTGTGTGGAATTGGTTTTCTACAAGAGCTTGTGGAGATATGGGACTCTACAAGAACTTGTGAAAAACAGTTTATGGTTAGAAATGATTTATTATCTGTAATTTGGCATTATCACTTCACTTAATTTATCGTTATTATGTAAACTTGAAATCTGTTGAAATGTTCCCGTTTTCTTTCAAAAATTAATATATGATATTTGCGAAATAAGACTGAGTTGTATGACATGTTTTCTAAACCTTGTATAAGTTTTGGAGAATGTTACTGCAGAGCTTAGTGCTCACCCGCTATAAACAATATATTTTTCAGATTATATGCTAGAGGAGGAGTCAGGGGTAGATGAACAAGCACATTGGGAAGCTCGTATAGAGGGGAATGTGGATCCCGAGATGGACATCTAGAGTTATATTCTTTTTTGTTCTAGACTAGAAAATTTATTTTGAAACTATGTAAAGTCAACATTTTTGTAATTCCGCTGCAAGTTAAATTTAATTCTTTTGGGATGTAATTGTCATAGCATAGCATATTCTTTTGGATATGATAGCCACGGTTGGCCTTTTCTTTTGGGATGATATTGTAAATATTATATTTGATGAATGAAATGTTCTTTTATAATGGATTTATATTAGTTACTCTCATGCTGTGAATGGTTTAGATTTTGATGTCATCCAAGGTGATTTTGGGAGCGTTATACATGTTCATGTCATTTTAATTTAGGGAGGAGAAGAGAGAGAGAGAAGACTTCTGGTATCAATTCCTTTACACGTATCTGTTCAACTGATATGTTTAAGTTTAGAAGTATCTCTTTCCTAAAAAATATTATTTGATCTGATGTGTTTAAGTTAAAGACGTTAATTGAACTGACATATTTCCAAAATGACTAAGTTTGGAAATGAAGTTGAAAACGAACCTGATCTGGTAAAAAAAATGCATTCAAAAAATATCAATTGGGTAAAAGCTCCTTTTTTAAACGTCACCAGGAGGGCAGCCAAGGCAAATCAGTGGATCAAGTGATCAACTAGTGGGCCACGTACCAACGTAATAGTAGAAAGGAACGACTCACGCATAGAGACTAGGTATTATTCATTTTGAATCAAATTACAACCTTAAAATAATGTTACCATCGGAACGATTAAAATCAATCTTAAACTAGTGGGATTGATCTTAAATATTAGGGTCAATATCGAACAATCCTATTTTATCATACTTCTTGCGAGATTAAACCATATCCTCACTCTAATTTTGTAATAACTTTAGATAAGATACCCAGTGTAATCTTTCTATTACAATGAAGGTAACTTTACGAGCACTTTGTACACAAGCATTAACCATGACTTTGACCTCCAAATTACAATAATAAGTTGCCTTACTTACATACCTTCTATGCAAATCAACTGGACTTTGAAAATCTGGAGGTAGACTTACAAGCCACTAGTTCAAGTGGTCGATCCATAATGTACGGGGATTAGAAAGGACAAAAGAAATGCTGAAACTTCATAACATGTTCACAGTACATATGCTAACGCAACTAGACCGAACTATTAAACATCAAAGATACTTTTCGTAGAATGTAGCACAAAATAACAACACAGTATCAACAGATTTTGCCAAGTAGAAGCCTCCCAAATAATCATTTGCTTCCAATGCAATTCCATTTCTTCTAAACCCCAAAAAAACAGCTTTACAGCTACACAAGAGAGTTGAGCATAGAATATAACCTCAAAGCCTAAAGTTCTGTTTTCCCTTGGTCTTCAATAGCAAAAGGATACATATTGGGGAGGACAACTGAAGAACTGCATTCCCCCAGAAGCAGTTTCATCTGAACTTCTTCTTCAGACCAGACTTATTGGGCGTGGATGATGGGCTTGAGGTCTCCTTAAATGCAGATGGGCAGAAACCACTCACGCTGCACATGCCACACCGAGGTCTGAGAGGAGTACATATTGTCTGTCCAAATCCCACCTGTTTCATTCACCGCCCAGTTATTCAAAATGCAATTTAGAAAGGCGCATCACCCACTTATAACGTCAAATTGAGTTTACAAAACAATATCATAACATTCAATGTTCCAACAAACATGAGGTTCTAAAATTGCAATAAAAAAAGACAAGGTGAACTTGTTGCAGAACTTTATGTGGAATTTGCTTTTCAGGGGATACCTCCAAGGCCATAAAATAAAATAGCTACCTAACTATTTATGACCCATTTTGCATCAAAATGATGAAATCCTTCCAATCAGATTTTTCTTGCACGATCAATACCTCGATCAGGCCAAGTACACAGAGGGTCCTGATCCTTACCATCAAATTATCAGTGCCCACCTTTCTGTCCAGTTTGAAATTATCATAATGGGTGGGTGAAATCCATTTTACCCACCTATGGTTTAGGCTTGTAGCACTTCCCCCTTTGTGGTTCAAATATAACTATGTGATCCACATATTATTTTGGACTAAGTGCAGTAGTTACAATTGATGGAGATTGTAACATACACGTGATATTTGAGACCTAACTTACCAAAATATTCGACCAAAGTCAATCTTTTACGTAGAATGACCAATATGCTCATGTAAGGAAGAAATAGCCCCTCTATTCATCTTGTTCTACATCTGTTAAAAACCCACTCCTACAGATCTCCCAAGGCCACCACCAACCACAAACACAATCAGATCTTCCATGGCAACCTCCACCCAATCAGATCTTCCTATAACTCACTTTTTTCAGGTACCACTACCACAATCATCATCAGCCACGCTACAAATTGTAACACCACCAGCCACTTCACTGCCAACCACAGTTACCCCAACACCACCCCGTCTGTGTGTATTTATAAGAGAGTGAGAGAGAGATGAAGCAAGGAACTTGGTGACGGTACGTACAATTCATCGGCAATTTGCGCAATCGCGGAGACCAAATATATAAGTTCAATTGATGGTATTATTTGAGAGAAGGGACAGATATGGCGGGAGAAAACAAAGACAATTTTCCAAAGATGGAAAAGCTTCTCTAGGTATGAGACAGACTGGACATTAACAAATGTTCAATCTATCAAAGACAAAATGCAAAACGGTGTTAGTTAAATGGGTAACTAAAATGAGATCATATATAAAAGCTCAATACCCAATTATCACGAAGCTTCATCTCATTCACAGGTTCAAAACCTCATCTTCAACCATCTATAGATAACCATCAATACTCAGTAGTAGCTTGTGGATTGCAGAGTTATGGAAATGAAAGAAAGCACCAACTGTGAGAATTGAACACCTGGAGGTGGGAAGGAATGCTAGAGAGAGTAGCATTGAGAAGAAGAGACAGGTGTAGTGGATCGGCGCTGGCTATGGTGAATAGTTGGTGGTTCATATGGATTTTGATTTTGACTGAAAATAAATACATAAGGGTGATAATGTCATTTCGTTCATTTCGTCTTCACAATGGTGTTAATTGCTCATATTAATAAAAAACCACATGGGGGTTATCTGATTATATATAAACCACAAGGGGTAAAGTGCTATAAAGCCAAAACACATTGGGGGTAAATAGTATTTAACCATCATAATTTATTTGCTAATGTATGGCTGTTGGTTTAATTCTGAGAACAAATATTTTGCTCAAGGGAACCGCCTATATGCCATGAACCAAATATTCCTTTTTTCATTTTTATTTTTCACTGATTCAAAATCAACACATTGCCACACATCCATATAAGATAAAGCTCAAAAAAGTTATAATGTGATCCTTCTAAATGTCAAACTTTACGAAGTAAAAGGTCAAGTAATGATTAAGGCAATTGGTCACCTTTCAATGGATACCTTTCTAAGACATCATATTTTCCTACAACTATCAACATAGAAGAAATAGGCAGATATGTGCCGTAGCAAACACATACCTAAACTCCTGAGCATCTTACAGGGGCAATTGTAAAATGAGGCCCAAATGTCCAACTAAATAAAATGTGAACACATGAAAATCTCCATTCAGGAAAAACTAAACACACATACCAAAAGAGGGTTAATTGGAACCCATTCTTCCTTCGGAAGCCATAACTGCAAGGACCTTCTCGTCTCCTCAGGAGATGAAGTTTTCTGAGAAGGAGCAAAGAATTGTCAGTGATCCAAAGCCATCTATAAAAGGAGTGTTTCTTTTAAAAACTTGGTTTTTTTTTTTCCATTTGTTTTCTTTTAATGGCTTTGGGGGAAGGGAATCAAATTATCAAATTATCAAATTATATACTAGCATGTCAAGGAGCCCAGTGCATTTACATCATATCTAAATGAGTCCATTGTCTTTTGACACTTGTTTAACATAGGGTCATACCCATAAATTCTTCTGGTAATGGACACATCGAAAAGGGGTTCAGGTCAAGGAGTTTATTCAAACATGATCAACACAGGAAAAATACCAACAAAATATCTTACAAGCTCAGACTCCCAAGTGCTAACTGGAGGAAGTTATATGCATATATCCGCAAAATATTCCAATCCGATGTCCTACCCTTCTCCAGGTTAAGGATCCAATGCTTTTTGAGGAGCAAAATCCAATCCAAAAAATAGCAACAAAGTGATTGATATAAAAACAATATAACAATTTCAGTGCTTCCCACTGGGTAGATCTCAAGCCAGTGACGAAACCAAAGTCACATTGGTAAACTTTAACTTCAAGTGCACACAATCTGTCCCATCCTTAAATTCATCTGTATGATCAAATCGTGGGGATCCTTAAACAATGCTTCATTTAGTTTTAATAGAGATGCAACCATATATCTATCTAGTTTTTGGCCATGCAAGCATTAGTGCACAATTGCTCATTCTACATCCACTTCTTTCATCGACTTTTTCTGTCAAAAATCAAGGTGTAAATCAAATCTCTGAAACCTTTTCTAATGCCATCGTGTTACTCAAAAATCTATTCAAAAAAGGACAGTTTGAAATGTTTAAGTTAAAATCTTAGATCATTTAACAGGTATTCAACCTGATGATTTCATTTGTTGTAACCAGTCAGCATAGGAAGAATAAATCATACCTGTGTTGTGCCAGGTCGCGACACCCATCCAAGCCGATTGCATATACGGTGAACATGAGTGTCTACACATATCCCTTGAACATTGTCCCATCCTACATTCATAACCTGCACAAGTACACGCGACCAAAGCCGATTGCAATCAGAGGCAATGCGCTAATGGTGAGCTAAGAAGTAAGGACACTATTAAGAAAGTGATGTATTTATCTCAACGATCGACAATTCACGGACATGTATTTAATACCCTTTTAGCCGTGTCTATAACTAGAAATTCTATTTTGGACACTTATTCAAAACTCTTTGGTCATGTCCGACACTTCCTTGGGTCGTGCATTATTTAAAAATAAACGTGTTATGCAATTATGAAAGCTTGAAACTTGGCCATTTAACGGTCTTATAGTATGAAACATACATAATTATTATGTATTAATTATGTTGTTGAAGTATAAATTTTTAAGTTATACCCTCTCCAACAGCTTAAACTTTTAGAGTAGATAGTTGTTTAACATGGTATCAGAGTAAGAGGTCATGTATTCGAATCTCATCACTACCCAAATAATTAAAAATATTTTCATGTGCTAGACCCAAAATCTGCACTTGAGGGACATGTTGAAGTATAAATACTTACGTTACACCTTCTCCAACAACTTAAACTTTTGGAGTAGATGGTTGTTTAACATATGTTACCATATTATTTAAAATTATTAATAAAAACAAAAGATGCATAATAGGTTTACTTAAAGGAAAGAATGAGAAGATAAGAGCAATCATTATATTTATGCATGCTTGCTTTTTCCACAAAACAAAACGATGATTATTGACTACTATGATCCATTGTTTTAAAATCCTAATAACGATACTAGAAATAGAATTTATTTATCATTAAGCACCACTTTTTGTTTGTTTAGTAATACTACAATTATATTGGTATAATATGATATATAAATAAATCACAAATACTTGTAGGGTGTCCTGGCCATGTTCATGTCCTATTTTTTTAGAATTTTGATGTCTCCGTCACGTTTCGCACCCATATCTCATGCCCGTGTCCTTGCTTCATAGATGGCAATAAATGTAAGATTGTACCAGATGAGCCATCTTTGGACCAATCCCTGGAAGCAGAAGTAATTCTTCAAGTGTACTGGGTATATCACCATCATACTTCAAGAGACAAATTTTTGCAATCTTCTTCAAGTTGCTAGCTTTTCTAGGGTAAAACCCAACCTAATAAAGCAAAAGATGGACAAATTAATAATTACCAAAGTAAACTATCATAAAAAATTACGTAAGGGATGTTGGAAAGCTTGAACACTCAATACTTTTGTTACACTAAGTTCTTCTTTGTTCATTGTACATAAATTGAGCTTTATCCAGACAACAAAGGCAAATTTTATGCTATGTGTCAAGCTGACTTGGCAAAGACATACCGGGTAAATCAAGCCCTTGAGGGTGGCTTCATCAGCTTTGTCAATAGTATCTGCAGTTAGCAGACCATTATGAAGGAGACGCTGAATTGCTCCTGCATAATCAGAGAGATATATAGTGAATAATTGTGAAGGGAAGGAATGTCAATTTTCAAGAAATGCGGACCAAGTGACCGATTCACGGTAGGGGTGTGGCTGTTGAAGCAGAAGTGGTGAAGAGCACCCAACAAAAAACATCAAATGTGCAGAGTGCCATCAAAGAGCCTTCATTACATATATTACTGTAAATGTATATGCATATGATCTAACAAAGAACAAAATAAAATCATTGTTTCTCAAGCTAAAACATATGAATTATCTTTATTGAGAACTTATGCTAGCATGTGGGCCATGATTAGGTTGTATAATGTGTGGATTGGTAATAGATTGGCACTAAGTCCTCAAATCTGCAGACTCAATGCAGGTGAGGAGCCAGATAAATTAGGCAACAAAGCGGTGGACAATACACATGGCACATCATGGAGCCTATAGTTGACAAGTTTCTACAAAATCTTGAAGACTCAAATCTAAAGCAACTTTTTACTTAGAGGAAAAAATAGCAAGAGAAAAAAATGCTACTTAGTAGACATTTTTCACTTGAAAGACCACTGAGGCAACCAAAATGGCTTTGGAATAATCCTTCAAGAATATATGTAAGATCCCAGATTTCAAAATTGGGCATTTTAATTTTAATGTAAATAGATGACGGATTTCAAAAGTAATATAAAAAACTCAACAATTTAAATTACAAAAGAAAAGATCTTCAAATAAAAATTTACGGTATGTTAGAAGCACGATTTAAGTTGCCATTAAGCTTAAAAGAAAGTTATTGATAGAGCAACTAAGCACAGGAAGAAAATCTTCAATCGACCAACCTTGTATAAAGAAAGGAAGTCATAGCTAGAGCAACTAATGTAAAATATTTCATTGCATATTTAAGACCACAAGCACAAGTTTTGACGGTTGGGAGTCCCTACAATGGAAAAAATACACAACACATAAACATATCTTCACAAAATTTAAATTTCGTACTATTAGAACTTGCCATGAGTTACATTATCTTTGGTTTGGCTTGACAGAAGAGAAGATACCAAGACAGCAAATCTTCTTTCCTGATGGACAGATAAATATTAAGAATAAGTTTACTAGCACCATACTTATCCTTTGCATGAAAGTGCAATTAATTTAAGATATGGCATATACAAGAATGAGGAACTAATGAGCATGAATTTAAAATTTGCACTATCGGTGAATGAAAGGGTTGAAGATTATGGCATGGGAAACGAAGGCTGTTACAAGAAGACCACTTTTCTTCTAAACGGTTTTGAACTCAATATCCAGTCATTGTGAAGTGGTCATCAAAATAAAGAAATTGCCCTTTTGGTTTAATTAAACAGTTGATTTTAAATTTGTAAAAAATAGGGGTGCTTTAAAAACCATAAGCCCACACTGAACAATACCAAAAGACAGTACCACCAAAAGTGAATCATGAAATCCCAAGGCTAATCATTCATATGTTCCATATTCGACATATATGTCCAACTTAAGATAAACCTACCACCACCAGATTGAAGAGATTACTACCTTAGGTGGGAGAGAACTGCCAGCTTTCTCACATCCCATAGAGTCTACCGGTGCATCTTCAGAAGACCTCATCTTGTGAATCCCTTCAAGGACTTTTTCCCAATTAGCAGGTGGATTGGCTGCATCAAGTGAAATACCAACATCAAGCTTTCATAAGTCTCAGATAGGAACACTTCCATGTAAGATAAGATTCCAGACACAAGCAGACCTCAGCCCACAGCATAAGTTGGATTCATAGGTACAGCTGGAACCATCAAGTGGTATATCCACTAAAAGAAGTCTAGTTGCAAAATCAGCCCATTCAGATGATTATATCAGTTTTAATTGGATTTTCTTTGGATATGTTGGAGTATAGTCTAGTTTATTAGGGTTTCTTTTCCCTTTTTTACCCTTACTATGACTTTATATTTTGCCTACACCACAAAGATGTTTAGGTCATTTTGTATTATTATTTGACTATATATATGGGGTTCTACTCTTTGTTTGAATATCTCTTTCTCCCTTCCAAATATTTCAAGTTGGTATCAGAGCCAGATCCTAATTCTAACCCTAACCTTCTCCCTAACCACAGCCTGAAACTCCACTGATTGCACCGACATCATCAGCGTCATACCAGTCCATACCAAACTCCAGTACATAAACAAGTTACACTGGTCCACCGACTTCCACCAGTCCATACCAAACTCCAGCGATCGCCACCAGTCCGCCCTCATCCAATGACCACAAATCAGCAGCAGAATCCAACAACCCACAAACCAGAACTTAGCCTCCCATTAGCAAAACCAAGTCCACCTATACAACTGACAACATACTCCTACAAATATAAAACCCAAACCAATCCATCTATCTCCACCGACTGCCCTATTGATTTAGTCCACTCCACCGACTGACTACAAAACCAACATCTATCATCAAACGACAAAACCAAGTCCAGGCAGCTGCCTACTGCCCAGCGACAAAATCAAGACCACAAACCCCCCCACTGACATCACTACTCACTGCCCACTGTTCAACCTTTGACCAACCCAGTGCCCAAGTAGCACCAAGCTCGCGCTCAGGCAGTCCCAACGCCAGTCTGTCACGCTTTGTGCTTTGCGTTATTCGTCTCAATGTCATCATCTCTTTGCGCCACTGATTTCTTTTTCTTGGGGGTGCAGCATCTAGGACCTTTTTAAGAGGGGTCGGATCCTCTTTTTCGTTGATCTGATCTTGATGCAATAGATCACTTATTTATCTTTATTGGATTTCTGGGCACTGTGACCTGTTATTTGGGAGCTTTCTGGACCTTCTTTATCTGTCGCTACTGTTCGACTGGAGATATATTATTCTCCCTTATTTTGTCCCTCTATTTATCTTAGAGTTTTGTCACGGGTGTCCACGTATTGTTATTGTTATGGTTACTACTGAGGGATTTGAAACCTCCACTGTTGAGATCTCTGCAATTAGTACTTTCACCTAAAATGTACCTTTTGGTACTCGTCAGTGTGATTATTGTGGCCGACCAAGCCATCTCAGGGCTACTTGCTGGAAGCTCTATTAAAAGCTTAAGTCGCCTCTTCGCAGCCATACTGCTACTATTGTTAAGATACCACCACCTACTGCCGATGTTCCTGCTGCTGCTCCTCCTTGGCAGAGTGATATGGATGCTATCATTTTTCAATTGGATATACTTATATCCGCCCTGACTTCTCAAGGTCCGACTACTGCTACTGCTACTGCTACTGCTACCACTACAGGTATACCTCGTGTCTTTCATGCTTATGTCAGTCCCTCTCCCCTTTGGATGCTGGACTAGAGTGCGAATGGTCATATGACAGGTGAGGCTCATCACTTCACCACTATTGGCGAGCAGTTACATACACAGGTTCAGCTAGTAGATGGGACACATGCTCCTTTTGTTATTAGGGGTACAGTTTGCCTCCCAGATGGATTTACAGTACATTCGATTTTTCATTCACCACAACTGGCCATGAATCTATTATCCGTACATCAATTAGTCAGAGATTTTTACTGTGCAGTTGTGTTTTTATCTGATTCGTGTTATTTGCAGGACCTGAGTACCAAGAGGATTATTTTCAGGAGACATGGGAGAGATGGATTGTATTATCTAGGCGATCCACCTCCAGTTTCACCAGTTCCTTCAACTCCATCACCTGCACATGTTTGGTCTTTATCTGTTCCTAACTTGCATGCTAGTATTTTGCCTAGTACTTGTCATTATGATTTTTTATCACAAACTGTTTAGTTGTGGCATGACCATTTTGGGCATATAAATTTTAAATATTTATGTATGTTATTTCCTGCTTTAAGGAATGTTTGTGCTGGTGATAAACTTGACTGTGTTATATGTTCCCTATCGAAACATGTTAGAACCAGTTATATTTCTCGCATGTACCAGTCACCCAAACCATTTGACCTAATACACTCTGATATTTGGAGACCCTCTCCTGTTACTGCTCTATCAAGTGCTCTATACTATGTGACATTTATAGATGACTATACCCGTTGTACTTGGGTCTACCTATTGCATAGGAAATCTGATGTACTCTCTGTCATCACTCAGTTTCTCTGGATAATTAAGACATAATTCGATGTCATTGTTCGTACTCTTTGTTCGAATAATGCTAAAGAATATGTGTCTGATACCTTAGTGTCTCACCTTTCTTCTCAGGGTATTCTTCAGCAACTCACTTGTCCATATACTACTGAGCAAAATAATTTTGCTGAAAGAAAAAGTAAGAGTCTAATAGAGATAGTACGTTGTATGCTTAGAGGTATAGGGGTACCAAAATCTTATTGGCATTTTGCTATTTTGACTTCTACCTTTCTGTGTAATCGTACACCAAGTCGTGTTCTTCAACATAAGGCTCCCTTACAAGTCTTATTCCCTGAGCGGACACTCTTTTCGGTCCCCCCTCATGTTTTTGGCTACACATGTTTTGTTCAGGATCGGTCTCCTACTCGTCATAAGCTTGATGATAAAACGATTCGTTATGTCTTTGTGGGCTATTGTTATCAATTTAAGGAATATTGATGTTATGATCCTATCAGGCGCCGTATGTATCACAGTCTAGATGTTACCTTCTTAAGCACATTCTTTATTTTTCTTCCACTCCTGTGTCTAACCCCTCCAGTTGATGATACTCCCTTTGATTTCTCGTTACCACCGGAACCAAAGTCATTGGTTACTATCACTACAGAGTCATCAGTCTCTCCTCCTCCAAAGTCACTTGTTCCTGTCAGTACAGAGCCACTAGTCTCTCTTGCTTTGCAGGTTTATGTTCATCGTCCTCGCTCTCATTCCCCTGCTGATGTCCCCTCTACCTCAGGCGATGTAGGTAATACTTCTCAGTTTATTGAGCATATTAATGCACCTGTTGTTAGTACTGATGAGATTTCAAGTACTAAGTCAGTTACTTTCCCTGATGAGATATTGTCAGTAAAAGATGATGATTTAAGGCGTCGTTATCCGTAGTGTGATCGCCGTCCAGTTGTCCGTTATGGTTGGACCGCCAGGACTTTGTATCCGATCTCTACTTATGTTTTTTATGGTGATCTTTCTCCTATATTTCGAGCTTATAGTATGGTCTTATCAGATACGCCGATTCCTCACTCTATTTCAGAGGCTATGCGGGAGTCCCAATGGGTTATTGCCATGCAAACGGAGATGGACACTCTTCAGCGTAATTATACGTGAGATCTTGTCTCTTTACCTTCAGGGGTGAAGCCAGTTGGCTGTCGTTGGGTTTACACCCTAAAGTTTCTTGCGGATGATACTATTGAACGTCACAAGGCTAGGCTTGTGGCGAAGAACTTTACTCAGGTAGCAGGTTGTGATTTTGGTGCTACCTTTGCCCCCATGGCAAAATTGACTACTGTTCGATTGATTATTTCTCTGGCTGCGGAGTACTCTTGGTTTCTTCATCAGTTGAATGTGAAAAATGCATTTCTTCACGGCGATCTGAACGAGATTATTTATATGGATGCACCACCTAGCTTTCGTGGTGAGAAGGAGTATTTTGGAAAGGTATGTTGACTGCGTAAGTCTCTCTATGGACTGAAACAATCACCACGAGCCTAGTTCTCTCGCTTTAGTGGTGTAGTTGTATGTTTAGGATTCACCAGATGTCATCCTAATCATACCAGCTTCATTCGACGGAATACTTCTAGACAGTGTATCATCTTTTTGGTATATGTTGATGATATTATTATTACTGAAAATGATGTTTCTGGGATTGTGCAGGTCAAAATAGACTTTGGAAAGACCTTCGATGTGAAGTACCTTAGATTTTTACGATACTTTCTTGAGATTGAAGTTGCCCGTAGCAGCAGGAGTATTATTCTTTCTCAGAGAAAGTACGTTTTAGATCTCCTCTCTAACACTGGGATGCTGGGGTGCAAACCAACATCATCACTCATGATTCTAAACCTGAAGCTTACTGCTGAAGGTGAAGAATTGAGAGATCCGACTATTTATCAGAGGTTGGTATGTAGACTTATCTACCTAGCCAACACTAGGCCAGACATTTCATTCGCTGTCAGCCGAGTTAGTCAGTTCATGCACAGACCGTGTCAGCCTCATCTTGATCCAGTTTATCATATTGTTCGGTACCTCAAGTCTTGTCCTGAACTTGAGTTGTTCTATGTATTACGATCTCAGACTAGTTCTCTAGCCTGTTATTCAGATTCAGATTCAGATTATGGGGGAGCATGTGACGGTCGATCTACTACAGGCTTTTGTGCTTTTCGAGGGACTCATCTTATCTCTTGAAAGAGCAAGAAGCAGACAGTTGTCTCTCATTCGTCAACAGAGGCAGAATATCGGGCACTGGCACTTGTGAGATTATCTGGCTACGATCGATTCTTGGCAAGTCGAGATTTCCAGTGACTTCTTCATCTACATTATATTGTGATAATCGATCTGCTATTCAGCTCGCTTCTAACTTTGTATTACACGAGAGAAAGAAGCATATAGAAATCGATGTTCACTTTCTTCGGGAGAAGGTTCGTTGTGGTATTGTTACTTCATTGTTTGTGGGGACCAGTGATCAGGTTGCTGATGTTTTCACCAA